GAACAGCGTAGTAGCTGTGGTAATTATTGCCAGGGTGATACAGCATTCCTCTGAGGGGAGGTGGGGGACGGTGAGTGTACACTGAATTAAAGTGAAAGTGTATCTAAACATGTAAAGATGAACGCATGTATTGTAATTTGAGCTCATGCAGCAATAGTGACAGACAGACACAAGTAATGTTGAAGAAAAGTTTGAGGGGTGATCAGAGTCATTTTCTATGGCGAGTTCTATGTGTGTGTTGGCTCTGTTCTTTATAACCATGAGACAAAAAGCAAATAATAAGACTGAGATGTTCATCTATGTTCATATATTTCTTCACAGGTTGATGTGTTTGTTTACCTGCCTGGACTTGGTGAAGCGATGCTGCCTGCTCTACAAAGACCTCACATGCTTTCCACAAATCTTTCAGCCAATCAGAACGCTGCTTTCCAAACATCTCTCAGCCCAAACATTACCAGAGCCTTTTCAGGTTTGTCGCAGATGATCTTGAAATAGTTCGTCTCTCACTATTTTTCAGTTTGTAGATGTATTATAGTTTATGTTTGTACTAATGTTTGTTGTTTTTGTTGCAGGAGCTTCACAGTGAGATCCTGGAGGCCATCAGCAGTGCCCCTGTGTCTCACAGTACGCTGGTTTTTGAGAAGAAGAAGCCGATTCCTCTGAAGCTGCTCACACCCAAGATTGTTGAAGTGTAAGTAGTTAATGAAATGGAATTAAAAGCCTGTTTTTAACGATGTTGAAAAATTTGCCCCATTCAAAAGCTAGAATTAAACACAAATTTTCTGGTAGTGCATCTGTTTTAATATCTCCAACACCTTTGATATTTGTCAGGCTGGACTATGGAAAGAAGCGTGGCAGCAGCAGAGAGGAAAAAGAGAGGGAGCGACTGAAGCACAAATACAAGAAGGAGTTCAAGGGCGCTCTGAGGGAGATCAGGAAGGACTCGCGCTTCCTGGCCAGAGAGAAGCTCAATGAAGTCATGAACAGGTGTGGATAAAACTGAAACCTCCATGTGGAAGTGAACGAAACGCTTTTCTGGCAAAAGCCTCTTAACCTTTTCTGCATTGTGTGTTACAGAGATGCAGAGAGAAAGAGGAAGGTGAAGGAGCTCTTTGGCAGCTTGGCCACTCAGGAGGGAGAGTGGAAGGCCCTGAAGAGGAAGAAGAGGAAGTGAAGTGCAGAATTTCAGTCTCCATCATCTGTTCTTTTTCATATGGACTTCTGCTGTTCGGCTTTGAATAACAGCCTGTACAAGGTTGAAATTTGAGGAACTTGGAATTGTAAAGATTCTCTTTTATCACGAGGACACATTTTTATACTGTTTGAGAAATAGCTGTCAGGATTGCACACCAAGTTGTCAAATATCCTGATGTAGGCGTTTGACGTGTCTGTGGATACTGTTGTTGGAAGTGTCAATCAACAAAGCAGTGAATATTTGGTTTCCATTCCCCTTTTTTTTCCCACCAGAATCGATCTCTACACTGCGCTAAAACACAGGAACAATAAATAACTTTATCTTTAATAATGGTGTCTTACATTCAGTCAAAAGTGCACATATTTTTCTGTCAATGATTATTCTAGTCAAAGTTCATTTTAGAAATGAGGTCAGAGGCTTTACCATATGACAGTTTGAACATCCAACATGCCTTATATCACCTGCTATTCACATGACAAAGAGTTCAAACAGGAAGTGAGTTGGTACACACGAGTTACACGAATGGTTTAACTAGTCTGACAGGAAGAGCTGGTTAAAGTTTGGTGGTTTGTGCTGGAAGATCTGTGGTTCTCCGTGTAGCTGTTGCTGCTGCTCAGGGTACATACGGAGCTCTTATTATACAACAGTAATCCCAAAGGTTTACTCAGTACTAAAATAGCCCCACCCTTGACTTAAAGGTCTCAGCAGCCTGGACTGACATTTAGACACCTGCAACAGTACAAGATGGCTTTGGTGCTGTTATTCAGTTGATGCTGGTTGGGAGTAAGGAGATGAGATTCTGATTTTACTGGTAATATTAAAGCTTTTTGCAACTACATTTTAAATCATCTCACTTGTTGCAGCCTCAGTGATGATACCTCATCTCTTCCTGTAAGTGACAGTCTCTGCATCAAGGTTCAGCATGATATGCAGCAGATGCTGTCAGCTGTTTCACATGCTCACCTCGTCCATAGCAAGTCTTTAGGTTGTCCTACTTATTCTTGTGTCACTTTTTAGTCCCGTCCCCCCCGGTCATTGTGGACAGCTGCTGCATCGATATCTGCTTGCGTGTTTCGCAGGCAGGCCGTCACCACCGGGCCCTGCAGTGACATTTAAATATTCGGTGTGCTTCAGGAGGTCGGCCACCTCTTCATCATGCAGCTTCCTGAGGGAACTCGGCCTCAGCCATCAACTGCTGATGCATTTTCTCAGCTCAGCTCTCTGCACTGTGCCATTCTTGACCATCTTGACAGAGTTCTCTCAGGATCATTTCCTCTTCCTCTAGAGATGCCAAGCGAAGCAGTCAGACTGGAAAACTGAAAAGAACGGCTGGGGAGTGGGAGTGATTTTTAATTCAAGTCCTTGCACCATTATCTTAAATGTTTTGATTGTTCTTGATTATATGTCCTTTGATATATATGTATATGTATATGTATATATATCAACCATTTAGGAGCCTCATTCAGATTCTCTACCTACCCTACCTTCCCTTCAAGGTATCCCCACTCAATATCAACGGCTCCTTTATCATTGGTCAGGGCATCCATCAATTCTCTCATCACCTTTAATTTAAGCTCTTTACTAATGCCTGCGGAGCCTCGAACTCAGCCTGTCACTGCCCGTACACACCGAACTGTGATCCATCATATCAGTTCAATATCTTATATCACTGGGTAGTGTTATAAAAGTGAAGCTGCAGCTGAACCAGGACTCAACAGTCAAATCACATCAGGATTATTCACATAGATGGAAATTATGAAGTTATGAAATAAACCAAAATACAAAACTTGTGTTGTCATTACAGCTGCTCTCTGCAGGGAACCATGAAGAACAGTAACAACAAGGAGTTAACTGGCTACTTCTGGACTGCAGGGATGTTCCAGGAAACAGCTGGGGACAGGTGTGGACATTAATAAGAGTGGATGAAAAAATAATATTCTGATGCAGACAAAATACAAAGGCTTCATGAGTAAAAAGTGCAAGAGAGGAGTTAAGAAATAAATGATGTTAATGTGAATTAAATGAGAACTGACCTTTATATTAACTGTTTTAGGTGATTCAAGCTTAACAAACTTAACTTTGTTAAGCTTTAAACATGTGTTTTGGAGTGAGGTCATATTCAGTAGACTACACTGTTTTTTTTTTTTAGCTCTAAGGCAGTTTATTTTTTTGTGTGTACACAAACACAGATTTGTCTTGTGGTAAAATACCTGCTGACAAGTAGCATATTAGACAATGTAAGAAAAGATACTGCAGCTAAAGACGGATGTGTAGTATGCAGTGTACCACATTACAGGTGGTGAGATGCTGTGGGACTAAAAAAACGTTGACGACGTCTTTCAGGAAGAAGCTGTTGATGGATTTGCTGGTCGTGATGTAAATGGAGCACCACTGTCTCTCTGAGGAAAAATACTGGAGGAGTTGGGTGCAAGGACGGACCTCTGTAAGTGCACGTCTAAGTCTCCTCTTTGTTATTACACACACTGTAGAGCCTGCAGCTGGCTGGACAGCTGCGTACAGCACATAGTCAAGGCCGACATGCTTTATTATAATAACACCCCGGCTGATTCAGTGGCTACAGGCAGGATTATTACTCTCTTTAAACCAAATGCCAAAAGACATATTTTCCTCTGATGAAAATGTACAAAACCTCCAAAAAACAGTACATCTAATCATAAATCCTTCTATTACTAAAATCCTTGGAAGATATTGAAATCCTTAAAAACAGCATGTTGTTATTGGTACATGGACACATGTTGTCCTCTGTTGTCTCCTAGATGATTGTTTCACAACTAGGTGACACACGCACACGCACACACTAACACTTACACACACTTACATTATTGTTGATGTTATCAAGGGATTGACTGGCTGTTTTTTGTTCTACTGTCTCATGAGATAATAACAAGAGGGAGAAGATGATGTGACATCCAGCTGAGATCAGGCGTCATAATGTTCTCATGAACTAAAATAAAACAGATGTCAACACATGTTCTTTAACAACAATGTGATCTTTAATTAAATTAGGGATGTGTGTGAGGTCATCCGCAGATTGACTTATAATTAAACTCAAACTCAAAATAAACATCAAGAGATATTAAAAGGATTTGAATGTGCAGTGTCTCAAAAAGAGAATAAGATGCAGTCTAATGAGGAAAATTAATAAAAGGTATTTTATCCAATACTAAATTTATCATAGTAAATGAATCTGTATAGTAGTAGACAGCAAAAACATTGACCAGGATCATCATTTGCATCATATCACATCATATCACATCCACATCACTGACTATTGTTTGTAAAAGCACAAACATTGAGGAAATGTGATCAAATTCAAAAATACTACAAAATTGTAAAACATGCAAAAGCGCAGTCAGACAGACAAATGTGACAAACACTAAAACATATACAACAATTAAAACACAATCAATAAGGGAAATGGCTTGATAACAAGAAATAGCTGCAAATGGCAAAACACTTAAAAAAAAGTCATATATACGTATATATATGTTTTGTAGTGCTAACATTTTTTAATTTGGAGCACATTTCCTTGTTTCTGCTTTTGCCTTAGCCTTTATTTTGTCCTTAGGGGTCACCATACTTTAAACCATTAATTATGGTTTAGAGATTCCTACACGTTTGCCTTGTTCCAACAAGTTGTTTTGATTTTTGTTCAATCACCCCATTTAGTTTCGTCTTTTTCTAGCAAGTGGCTCTGCACTCTATTGACCCCACATGTGAACGTAAAGATAATTGAGCAAAGTGAGAAAAATTTCAACAACCGCATAGTTTTTACATATTTTATTCAACACTTAAATCCAAATAAATTCATATCACAGCCATTAAGCTGAACAGTGGTTTACATGCTCTTGGTTTTCAAAAGTCCATTCAGTATGAGATATATTTGTTATAGCAGTGATAACTTAAAAAATACAATACGAATGCACATATAGCTCTTAGCACTTCATAGTCCACCGCTATAAACAGTGACAGTATACAGACAAAAATAGAGAATATCATTATGCTTCCATTTCAACCAGATCACTGTCAATTTTTCATTTATATAGAGACACTTAGGTGCTTGAAGTGGTAAATTGTGGTATATTTCCATGTTTGAGTTATTGACATAACCACACAGTTGACGGAAAACCGACATATAGACACATACACATGCGCACACACAACGACCAGGTGTCCTTCTCAGTGGGAGGGAGTCACTGTAAATGACAGCTGGTCACGGACGACACACACACCTGAGGTCCCTTTCAGGACTGAAGGCACACGCATGTACACACTCACACAGCACCTCTGTTTCTCTACATTTACACATATACTGCATTACAGACATACATAACAACACGCACGCACACACACACACACACACACACACACACACACACACACACACACACATACACACCCACAGACGCTGGGCACAGACTCCATAAAGGACCAAAACGAGGCACAACGGGACTTGGCAGAGCGACATGGAATGTTTCGGTCATTGATCTTTGATTGTGAAGCGCTCAGTCAGTTTAGTCGTCGGTGTCCTCCTGAGAGAGAAGAGGAACAAGAGGTGGGCTGTGAATTCCCTGTCCTTTATGCAAATGACTTCCTGCGATGGGAGCATTTTAACCTTGAGTGAAACATCTCCATATGGCATGATGCTGTGAAATCTCAGGAACTGTGTAAACCAGTGACGGTAATGTTGCGACAACCATTAAGATGGGTTATTTATTCCTCAGTCAGTCTTTGTCCTTCACCTGAGAAATGATGATTTGTTTTTTTTTGGCTTTGGAATATTATTCTTCCGATGTTTAGAGGACAATCCAACCAAAAATGTGTCCAATTTAGAAAGCATTTAGGATATAAACCTCCACTAAATGCCGTACAATACACAAACGTTTAAATGAATGTTAAAATGTTAAAATAATTTAAAGGTTAATGTTTTCCTCAAACTCCTTCACCCTTATATGGTTGATTTTGTTTCAAAAGCAGGGTATTCAACTAAGAGAAGTACCATTTATGTTTTTAATGTCTTAAGTTCCAGAAATTGGTGCATCTAAAAGCCTCATCTGAAAAAAACGTAAATATGGCAAAGGTTTGATCTGTTTACTCTCCCTGAGATTTTGAACTGAGAGACAATGAAAAGTCAATTTCCTCCTGTCTAGATATTGTCACTGAACATGCTGAATATGTGCACATGTAATATATTCATTTTCATGTTGAAATACTGACGCAGCTTCACATTACCAGCTGTAGATTTTATATCAGCCAGTTGCAGTCTTACCTCTGTAGCATCAGCAGGGTCAGAATCAACCGGTGACTCTGCCACGTTCTGTGCTGCCAGGGCGTCATCACCCTGAAAAAAAAGACAAAAAGAATGAATGGATAATGTGGAAACAAACAATAGAAGAAAGGAGAGGGGCTGTTGAATGCAGAAACCTGAGAAGATTTAATATGGAATGAAGAGCGAAACGAAAAGTGCCTTTAAGTGCTTGTATTTGTGCACATACTGAGAATTTTAAATCCTTCCACTTTTTCTTTCACACCGCTCCTCTCTTTTTTTTGTGTTACACTGACCCGTTTGAGAAGCCTTTTTCAACAGTTTCTTGTGGACAAATAAAGAGTAGACACAGATTGAGCTGCAACAATTAGTCAAGTCATCGTTTGCTTGATCAACAGAAAGTCAATCTGCAGGTATTTTAATAATCAAACAATCATTTAGTTGTTTTTTGGACGAGACTGCCAAATATTTGGTTCCAGCTCCCAGTTTCAGTGCTTTTCTTTGTCATGCAGCGGGTGGTGGGGATTGTCGCTTGACAAGACCTTTGTCCATCATTGCTATTAGGAGGCAAGACATTATAATACATCCTCTGAGCAGCGCTAAGTGTGCAGGGCAGATTGGAGTCAATGTGAGTTGCTATCGGAAAGTGACGAGATGGGCCGGGGTTAGCTACTTAGCATGCTAACTTCAGTAGAAGAAGAGACGTGAGAGAGACAAGAGTTAACATTGGTGTTGCTTTCCATCACAGGACACAGCTCTTGACGAGTGACAGAAAGAAGTTTGATGCTGAACTGGCAACGTTTCTTCTAGACTGGTAAGTAAACAGTTATTAACGCTAACGCTGAGTATGTAGCAATAATTGGTGGTGTAAGATCTAAAGCTGTGATTTGTCACAGTTTTGGAAGGCACTTACAAAGGATGTTGTCCTACTGACAGATCAGAAAACACTTCTTTCTGTAATTCTGGGACTTGTTGGTTCTGGCACATCTAACTGTCATTGCCTTTACAATAGGGACAACTTGTGATAAACCCACAGAAGAACACCTAAGTTTGAATCTGAACGACACACGGAATTCACCCCGCTCTCGCTTCGTCCCCTGATACATTAAAAGGCACTTGCACTCATTTCATAACGGTCATTATGATCGTGGTCATTTTGAGTGAGTGGGCAGCTCAGGAAGAGACGAGGCATGAAGCGCTAATGAAGGAGGTGGGTGACGTCTCTCTGGTCGAGCTCAAAAAGATGCCTTGATTACACCGTGCCACTAAAATGACCTTCCTTAATGAGGAGCGGTCACAGTGAGCTGATGTGTGCACGTGTACGTGTGTGTGCGTGTGTGTGTGTGTGTGTGATGCGCTCGCTGGCTGCTGACATAACCTTAAACCAGTTATTGCACCTACTCTTCCTGCTGTTGCATTTAACACCACCCATCAAGTCTCCCATCTGTTCGCCCAGCAGAGCCAGAGAAACGCGTGCTTATGTAAATACACACACACACACACACACACACACTCTTGGACCACAGTCTGCCAATAAACACCACCTTTTCTATTTACTGTGGTCAGATTAAACTTTGGCCAAAAGTTTAAGATTTGTTCAGGTATTTTTTTTTTCTTTTTTTTAGGACAAATCAAACCTGAGATGTCTGTGTAAACCATAATCTTCCAAAGCAAAATCAAAGCCAATACCTCACCTACGATTACTGTGTTGTTTCAGAGCAATTTTCAAGCAGAAATTGCTTCCTGGGGGATGTGAAATACAGCGGCCTCTTTTATTGCATGTCGCTGAAAAGATCTGAGCAATAAGACGTGTTTGTTGAGACCATTTTCTATTTTCTGTCATGTATCCTCCTCTGCTGTCCAGCACTCTGCCCACCACTCTGTCTGCTCCGCTATCTCATTGTCATTTTCATCTCCTTCTACCTTTCTGGCGTTTGTGTCTCCTGATATGAGTCACCAGCAGCTGATGAATTGGTGAAACGACCAGATGAAGAGATTAATCAAGACTCAGCATGCCACCATCCTCTGTTTGCTTGTGTGTGTACGTGTGTGTGTGTGTGTCTGTCACAGGAGACAATCTTTGATGGGCTCTCTCAACCTGGCATCAATTTTTAAAATGAAATCAATATTAATGATGTTTAATGGCTGAGCGCATGGGAAGGATGGTTAAATGAGGACAATCTGCTGCTGTCTGCATGTCAGTCTCTTGCTAGGAATACCAAGATTTAAAAAAATAAATAATAAATCTGTGTGTTTAATCCTCTATCAGTCAGTCCACCATCTTTCCATCAGTCAGTCCACAACCTCCCCGTTTGTCCATCTGTTTGTCTGTTCTGCTTTTGGCTCGTCGGGGGTTCCTCGTAATGAGGCTGATCACATTCCTGGTGGAGCTTGATCACTGTTTTATCCCTAAGGGTGTATACCACGATTAGTTGATCTAGCTGCCTTTAATAACACAACTGCAGCGAAAGATGAAAGGATTTGATTGGGTATTTGTGGGAAAATACCATCTTTTGATAATGGAAATCAAATGCATGCGGGGCAAAAAAAGATGGAGTTGGGGAGAAGATTTGTTGATTGCCTCAGTGAAAGAGCTGCTGAAAAACATTTTGTTCAGGTGTCATTTGTTGCCACTGGCAGGAAAATAACTCGATCATTTCTTTGGTGTCTTATCTTTTTATAATGCACTTTTCACTAATCACAGCTAATTAAAGCAGAGCTGAAGACGTGTATGTGCGTATGTGCGTGTGTTCTGTTATCGCTTGGTGTCAAAAATGTTGTTATTGATTCCCCTGTGTTTCATCACTAATTAAGGGATGGGAGCTCGAGCATCACAACAAACATTCAACAAAGTGTTTTGTGTTGCCCGGGGAAATATTTGACTGGCTTATCATTTCCTGCTACTCCCAGCGATGTTATGAGAGAAGAGGGTAATTACAGGCAAATTTAGTCCTCCCCTCAGAATTACATCCAATTTTAACACCTTATTAATACAGATGTATGACAGAGGAAGTACGGGGGAGTGTAACTGCTACTGTGTGACGACATATGACAAACATGCGAAAGCAGTGTTTTTCAGTTAAGAAAAAAAAAAAGAAGCAGAGCATGAGCACAAGGACCGTCTGTCCCTCGTAGAGTTTGTCTTGTTTGAATGCTAAAGAGTTCCTGCGCTTGTAAGAGCTGGTGTTGAGTAAAAGTGAGAAAGTAGTGGTTTAGGGTGAAAGTCTTTCACATGTCGCCAGTTGTAATTAAAGGTGCCTCACAAGGTTTTCTTGTAAACAAACAAAAAAGTGTTGAATGCATTTCCTTCCTCCTAAAGCAGATTTTTGTGAATATTTTGAAACCTGCCTTGTTCACAACCATGGCAGTTGATAGCAGTCTTCTTCATCACAACCTTTATTGCGACATTACTGCGCTTTCCTGCACATTACAGTACGACTATGTGTGATGAGTGTGTATTGCATCATCAGCAAGTATGCATGCATTAGATATAAATGAAAGAGACCTACCTGTGAAGACATTGCTCCACAGTGCTACTAGTGATTGAACTTTTGCCATTTTATTTTTGTGGTAAAAGTTGTTAAATTTACCCGTAGCACATGCAAAATCCATGAATTCTTGTTTCTTCACATGTGGTTTTTAATGTGAATTGATAACATGTTCAGTGCTGTTGCACAAGTGATATTACATGTGGAAAAAATGTCTTAGATCAAACGTGAAACATCTGAAAAGCAGTCTGATTAACATGTAAAATAATACATGGTTCTTTCATTTCTTTTATTTTAATGCTAAATGTACAGTAATACGTCCTAAAATCATCCTGTAACTAATCTGTAATCTTGAATTTTTAAATTGTAGACTCCCACATTGCTTAAGCCCCAAATTACGACCTTGACTGTATCTACAAAAATCTACACGAAGAGCTAGTGAAATCTAAAGCTAAAGACAAGGAGAGAGTGAAATAGAAAGATACAGACAGCAAAATGTAGCGTAAAAGAACCCACTGAAAAGGGGAAAGAAGAATCATTTTTCATATTTGTGTGAGTGTCGCAGCAGTAAATTGTTTTCTACGGTAAACTGCCTTTACCTCCTCCTTTGGACAAACGAAGGCCAGACTGAATGATGAACAATGCAGGAAAAGCTAACAATATGTAACGGCTTTGGTTTCAGAGAAGAAAGACACACAGCAGATAAGATAAGAGAGGGCAAATGACTCAAGGTCAGGAGGCCATTTTGACACGGTGGAGACTTATAACCGACAGCCAGTGGCATGAAATGGAGGGATGTGCTGTGCTGCAAACCACCATTTCTAAAGGCGTGTTTAATTTTATACTGGTAGGTCTGAGGAGAAGAGTAAGCATTCATCATGTGTAGTCGCATTAAAGTTGAACTGAGATTTGAATTTTTCTCACTTCTTCAGTAAGGAAATATAGAATATAATGAAATTTTATAATGATAAAATGATAAAACTGTTCCATGGACATATTCGTGGAAAAAGTGTCTAAGCATCGAGCCTCTATGTTTCCCATGGCAACAGTTGACCGATATGTGAGGGTCGCCGTTGCTAGTCTGTTTGCCAAAACACAGTGTCAATTTTAATGCTGCCCTATTGACTGGAGCACGTCATAGCCCTGTGTAGCCTACACATGTTGATAGAAGATGCTAACTTACTCATGTTAGCACTGATTCCCACTTGATGTCACTTTTTATTCATGTAATTTCAACACCTGCTGAGTCATTGTCAGCTCCCGCACACTCAGTGTTGTGTTCTTCCCACACTGGAGGCGTCTAGCTAGCATTAGCAGTCTCTCTTTCATTGCTCCAGATGTTGTCATGGCAAATGACAAGACTGTCAAAATTAACCGCAACAAGTAGTCCCGTCACTTCAGCACTTCTTATATTATGCTGCGTTCACATTATATCATTTAAGGTGCATTTATTTTAGCCTCCAACTTGGACGTATCAGGAATTTTTGACACCATCAGTACCACTTGGTGAAAAGAACTACAGAGATGTCAGCAAACTGAGTGGATGCAGGTAGATCACCAATTCCATCAAAATAAAATCCAATATCAACATTAATACAGTCTATTTAGCTAATTCTATAGGAGCTATATAGCAAAATTATTCTGGCGAACACTTGTCACATTGGCCTGTTACTTTCTTCTGGCTCGATATACGCCCGGTTCCACAGCCCAAGTCCGGTCCACGTATTGCATGACTGTTAAATGCTATTTTCACATCTGGACCGATTCTGCTGCACACAAAAAAAGTCTCTCTGGCTGTCATCCAACACTGGAGGATAACAGCTGGAACCAGCCCAGATGTGGAAGCAAATGGGCCAGACTTGGGCCGAAGATCCAAGCCTATGTTGGGCCAGAAGTTTCATTTTGCTATCTTAAATGCGTAACTTGAAATCAGCTAATTTTGTTTTTCCGGTGTGACTACAAGGTTAGCACTGTGGCTAACCACCTTGGGATAATGTCTGTTCTTCCCATTCCCCTGTCATTGAATGCAGCATTACCCTGTGATTTGAATCACACCTTAGCAATGGCTAACAACTTCAGCCCACCAAACCTGCCAGTTGTATTATGAACTATTTTTAGTGCCTGTCCACAGAGATATTGAACAGGCATATTGTCATTGTCAGAACTAAAGCCCACTGGGGAACACTATTCTAGGGGGTTCTACCACAGCACAAAAACTGCAGAATTAAAACTAACAACATTTTAAATCAAGTCAAAACACACAGAGTATATATAAGTATTTTAATTAATTACCAAAAATGTTTTTTTATTTTTTATTTTATTATCTAATTTAAATCAAAGGCATTTTTCTTACTTGTTTGGCTGGATCCTTCTTGACCAATCCGGTGGCAGCAACAATATTGCCTGCACCCTCCACAGTTTTCTGGGCCACAGCTGTAACCCCGGTAACCACCGCTCCACCCACCTGAGACACTCCAGACACAGTTTTACCTGCGACTGAAGGCACAAAAGAAGGAGAGAGGGGGAGGGCATTTCAGGAGGGTGTATCTCTATAGAGTCGCAATACCTGTGAGGATTGGCTTGCATAAAAAGATAAACATGACACACATCTCACAAACTGGATTTCAAAGCTTCCACAGTGATGGGAAGGAAACATAATGTCAGCGGTGCAGCCCTTTAGTGACTTACTACTCTCACTTCATAAATAGTACTTTGAATATAGAGAAGCGTTGTAGCATTGAGATAAATCTGGATGAAACACTAAATCACTTCCAAAATGTTTGTTATTTTACCCGTTTTCTTCCTAATCTCGCATTAGTGTTATTGTCAAATGTGGTGGAAGCTCTACAGAGTTCTAAGTGTTATCAAATACTCGGCTGCATCTCCTTCAACGCCCTACAGAGTTATTTAAAACCAGATACCTAATATCATTTGGTAAACTGAAAGTCCTCAGGAACAGCCTGGAGGCCTTTTCCTTTCAAAACCCTTCTACACTGACTTTCACCCCGCCTCTTATTGTCTAAGCAATGCATTGTTTCGTTTGTGGTTTTGCATAGCAGTACATCTGGTTTCACATTTGTTTCCTATGAATTCTATGGAAACTTTTTGTTTTACTGATATGTTGTAAAATTTTATAAAATCAGCTTGGCCTCTTTGCTGAATTAAGGCTAAAACATCAGTCAACATTGATATTGTTAGCATATAATAAATGCATTTTCCGATCTTTTTACAACAAGTGCTCAGTTTAGGGTCACACTGTGCTAAAAGCTGCTGTTTTGTTGTCTTGTGTTGGTGTTTTCTACACCAGTGATTCCCAACCTGGAGATCAGGACCCAAAATAATAATTTGTTTTCATAAATTTCCACTGATCTTTTCTTTTTTTCTAACAAATTACTGGATAAATGTAAGTGTCAGCACTTTTTAAGAAGTCAGACCAAAAAAAACACATCTCTGTCTGTTCACAATTGGTAGACATACACAACTGATGACATGAGGTCACAAGCGGCAACAAGCCAAAAAGGTGGAGACCCAATGGTCCATGCTGTAACACAATGGAGTTTAACAGTGTGACAAATAATAATTAATCATGACTCAGCTGCTCTTTGCTTACAGGGCAACATCTCTACTTGTCCGGAAAGCAGATTATCAGATCATGAGTCTAATGTAGGCCACTTGGTCCCACTGAGAGAAATGATACCATCCATCCTCCCTTATTTAAAGGCTTTTTATAAAACACTCTGCCATCCGGTTTTTTCTCTCGTACAATCCCAGCTTCCTAAACAATACCAATACTTCCAATAATGTAGAGCCAACAATGTAGAGCCATTTTCCTGGATGCCTACAGCAGCCAGTGTCCCTCAGCTTCTCTGCTTGTTATGTTTGAGAGAAATGGCAAGGCCTGCACGCATGGCCCCCAGGGAGTTAGGACGGTTGTGTTGAGTCAGGCGGTGAAATATGCCACTTACTCACCTGCAGAGTTACAGTACATCTCTCTTATTGACCGCCAGAGGATCCAGTTAGATTACACTCTGTTTTGCCTTTATGTCAAAGATCTACTGTACTTGTGTAAAAATCCTTTCATGACCGGCTGGTTGCAAAATGTGTAAATTCATGGTCTGATTTTTCAGAGCAACATGGGAATGGAACAGATGTATTAACGTCTGCATTAATGTGTGCTGTTACCTGTTGTGACTCCATCCTTTGTTTTGGTACCTGAAAGGAAATGCAGGTGAAGCTCAATTAGTCAAAAATAGGAATACAGTAAATGATCAAAACGCCCAGTTTTATATTTATAATTGTGTATTAAATTGATAATAATAATAATTAACCAATAACTTTTCAAAGCTTTCTATCCCATTTTCAAATGAAATGATCATCAGTCAAATTAATTCTCAGCACCCACCTACAAACATAACCCCATCTTTCGTCATCTCAGCTGCTCCAGTCACTCCCTGCTTGGTTTTCTCCGCCGCTGCCACGACCCCATCCTTGGCTTTAGAGAAACCCTTCATAAACGCGTCCATGGCTGCTTGATTGGCTCCCAAATAACACACAGCTGTGAGGATGTCAAAACAGGGCGCAATGAGATCTGGGCACTCCCGGATAAGGTGAGGCGCTCGGTGTTAAAACGAGTGACAAGACACACACACGCACACACACACAAAAAAAACGATGCCACCGCCCTACTTTTCTTTGGTTTGTCAAGCCAATATCACCGTCTGAAATATGTGTGCTGTTGATACAAGCAGCTCTGCTGAAAAATCCCACCTGTAGGAATTGGTTTCAGCCCAGCTGCGAAACCATGAATGGATTTACTATCAATTTCAATAAAAGAAATAAATAAATAGAAGAAACTGAGCTATTGTATTGCAGTGCGATAAGGAAAAACAAATCATGTAGCAGCTGATATTCTAAAATAGAGAATTAAAAATATATATTACGAGTAGAAAGGCAAGAAATCAAAGAGCTGTGCTCCACGCACCTGTTTGCTTCAACTTCCTTTGAAGCAAGATTGTGATGAGTCTTCCGGGATGACAGCGGAGATTCCCCCCAAAGAGCAGTCGAACCGGTTTATTGTCTCCAAACTACAACTACTACTAACGACCGTGCGTGTAGTATTGTCTGCTGAACAGACAGACGGACACAGACAGAGTGAGACAGACAGACAGACGCTCCACAGGTTTGACAGTAGACGCCTCCCACGCCTCGGCGATGTAGAAAGAGCGATTAAACCCCGTGATGCTGATGCGAGAGAAGAGATGCTCCGCTGCCTGTCTGTCTGTCTGTCTGTCTGCAACACACACACACACACACACACACACACACACACACACACACACACACACACACACACACACACACACACGCACAGATTACGTAGCTCTCTCTCTTTGCTCGTGGGTTGCCCACAGCGTGTAGGTGCAGCAAGCAAAATCCTCAGTCGGCTCAATACATCTGCGGCCGAACCGCCAATTAGTGGCAGTGTAATTATGTAAGATAACACTACTGGGCTGTTCAGTGCCCCCACATGTGAGTAAGATGTTAACTACAGCTGCACGGCGGGTAGCTGATGATTTTTTTTTTGTAAAGGCCATGTTGCGATTGGCTCATGGTAAATCAGACTGTCACAACTAGTATTGAATTTTACAGATTTTTGGTTAAAAAACTTTGGTTCCCCTTTGTAAATAAGGACAGCTTTCATAAAGAGTTTACAAGTTGTAATGGTTTCATTAACGGTTAAACGATAACAATTTATTAATGCATTATAGATTAGATGAAGGGCATTAATAACAACAAGTTTTGGGTTGCCAGTTTTCGAACTCACCATTTAAAAGGTTTGCAGACGATCTGAACCAAAATCTATCTAATCAGTTTATTAACAACTTTATTAACAACGTGTACTCTTTCTGTTTGTCAAGAATGCAGTTATAAATGTTTAGTCTGTTGCTCCTCAATCAGCTCATGGGATTCCCATATGGTACCGCTTTCTAATAAGACACTCTTTAAATGATGCTTATCATAATAAGCCATGGTGTCTGCAGAAAGTGAAAAACCCATGAGGGTTTATTAATGAATTACAAACTCAATTTTACTAAAACAACAACAAATACAACAACAGAATATATTGTAAAGCTGCATTTTTTCACAACCTGGCAACCCTAAATGTGTTATTAACAAGGTGCAAGGGGTGCCTTATTAGAAAAAGGTACCAGTTATTACTAATAAATCATTAATAAAGGGTTTGAACATCACATTGTAAGTAGAGGATTTTGGTTCCAGATTGTCTGGAGCCCTTTCCTAGAAATATGTGGTCAAATGTTCTTACTAGTCAAAGGGAATTTTTACAAACAGGCAACCCAGAACTTCTCCCTATTAATTTTCTTATAACAAATCTATAACAGATTTGTTAATGATTCATTAAGCATTAATAAGGTCAAGTTAAAACTTGATAACCCTTGATAAAGGGTGTTTTATTAGAAAGTGATACTCATAGTAAACTCTACCATAGGACACGATCATAGTAGGCTACTGTAATACTTTACTCGGCTATAGGCTACAGTTTACGTAGGTTTAAGGGATGATATGAGTCAAGCTTAGATAATCTTCTCCTCCTCTTATGACATTTTCTTCTTCACCCACCTTCTTTTCCCTCCCTCATTCCTGCATGTTCTTTCCATGTCTCCTTTTCATCGTGTCTTGTGCTCCTGTGTATGTATGTAACAGTTCCAGTCTATTTGGGATAGTTTGGTTGTCAGTGGTGTGAAACACGATTCTAACCATCTATGGTGTATGCAAACAGCAGCCAAGTAACAAAAATAAACCTCTAGTGAAATTCATAAACAGTGGTGTGATAGTGGAGCAATGGCCAAGGAAAGTTTATTTGTACAGCAAATTTCGTACCCATTCAAAATGCTTTGCATGATGCATTCAAACAATATCACAGCACAGGCGTTTTTGCAATTTGTCCTCAGAGAAATCAGAGCCATATTCCACATTTGTATAAAACCACAAAGAAAACATAATGATATGTCATGATCATATTGAAACTAAAGAGGACACGAGTGAAAAATAAGGACAGCTAATAAAGAAATAAACACAAATAAAACATTTTCTGTGCTGAGTTACAGACAGCCCTCATGAGGCTGTTGCTCTGTCACTTAGCATCTTAGGTGTGGTTTACAATGGGCTCAGATGAACGGGAACTTGCAGGGGATGAAACCACAGTTGCATGTGAGACTGGCCTGATTGCGGTATCGAGATGAAGACAGGCTCAGCCAAGCTGCATCTTAACTACACTGAGTGTCTGAGCCGCAGGCGTGTCAGACAACCTCAACATCCTGTAGCACAGGAGGGAGCGTGCCTGATGGCTTACCAGCATCATTGTTACCATCATACATCGTGCCCTGCAATGTTTTAAGCGCCGTTCACATTTCCACATCGTTGTACAATTACCAACAATTGTAGCTTTAATAGCATGCTTGCATATTTTTTTGTCATTTTAAGCATAGTGTCATACCGCTGGAAAATGTCCTTTTGACTTTATTTTAGCATTCATGTCTCAACTCAACTCTTGTTATGTGCTATCTATTTTCTTTTTGTTTGCTAGCTTTTAGATATGTGTCCTGAATTATAGCGTGACTTATTGTTTTTTCACTGTCTCATCAATCATTACATTGGCCAACAACACAGATTTATCCGCCTTCGTCTTTATTCCAGTTTATTTATCTACTTTATTTTTATATTAAATGGCCATGCCAAAAATAGTCTGTCCGGTAGGCTACACCACTTCCTCCTCTAAAAACCCAGTCTTTTGTTTAATGTAATGTCTGTCTCACTTACCTATGTCATGTGTTCAATCACCTGACAATTGATCACTAATTACACTGGGAGTGGTGTTGTGTACATTTTTATTAAGCTTTTCATCTTTGACAGGGACCTGATGACTCAGTGCAACACTGACAATAAGTCATGCTCCAGCAATGAATCAAATGAAGTGAGAAATCGTTTCCCTGTTAAGTTTCTTCCAGTTTGAAAACTTGCTTGTGATAGGTGACTTCTAATAAGTAATATTGTCCTAAATATTTCTGTATGTGCATCGTACTGTAGCACCATTTCCACTGAGCTTCCTGCAGTGTCAGTAATCTGTCAAATATACAATATTAGCTTACACTTAAACTACGGTTGGAATTGTTGTGACAATACATACAGAATATGATTATATGAATATAATTATTCATATATGACACTTAATTATAGCAGTGTCTTCAAAAAAATATACATGGTGAAAGATCTGAAACGTAGAAATAAGTAAAATGATCTGAGCTGTATAAATCTGTTCTTTTACTGAACTTTATGATATTAAACCTGAGTTAAACCAAGTCAGCTGTAGGTTCACGTCAGAGCTCAGGAACAGTGACCTCTACAGGTGATAGAAACCAGGATCAGGCTAAACCACATGGTGCTTCTGAGGACATAGCAATGAAGTTAACTTTGGTTTAAACAATTTATATTGCATATAAATCCAACCGTATAGGAGGCACTGGAGGGTCGACCATACATTCACACTGTAAGCTTCTTATGTGGTATGTGTCACTCCTGGTGGTGCAAGAGGTGCTCTAGTTTCATCCATGAATTGGTATAGAGTTGTAGTGCATGGAAAGGTGGCATTTGTGTCTCTTTTCTCATTTCGGATGCATTGCTGTAATTTTGTAGTTGCAAAAAAAAAAAACATGTCTTACTGTCTAAATTGGCATAAGGAAGTTAGATGGTCCACCACTTTGGTCCAGACTGAAATATTGCAACAATTCTTAAATGACTTGCCTTTGAAATTTTCCACAAACATTCATAGTCCCCATAAAAACCCTAATGACTTTGTTGATGCCCTGATTTTTCATCACTTTGGTGTACTAGCATGGCTGTGGATGACAGGTGAGGAGCAAATCACTTCATATTCAGCTCATTTTAACCATTATGCCCAGGTGCTGCACTGCTGCGGCTTACAGTAATACTATGAAGCCTGTTGGGTGTATTTCAGAAAGGCTGGTCCATATAGATTTCAAGCTGGGCACTCACAGTGGTATCACACACAACAGAAAATAGTTCAAATCAAGAAAAGAACTTGTAAAATTTTGTATTTAATAATATTTAATAAACCTGCAAAGTTACAGATCAGGAAGACAGAATGATAATAGTCCCATTGATGGAGTGTGGATGATACATGCTGGTGAAAACACCAAGAAATCAATGTCTTCCTGAAGGTTACCCATTGAACCTGAGTTGGCATCTCCCTCTTGAGAAACCAGATGGCCTCAAAGCTTTTCCCTCCACTACCATTCTGTAGGTTTCTACTCGTCTCCCCACTCAGAGCCCGAGTCCCTGCCAAAGTCTGTTGCTAAGTTTTCTGCCGGTGAATCATCGTCCACCATCCATGCCCACAGACACAAAGAGTATTTTGCTCCTATGTATGACACTCTATTCATCGTTAAAGACTCATTCTTCCACAGAGAGATCAGGGCACAGGATCAGCTGTAGAGGTCGCTCACAACCTTTTAGTCGATGATATCATGAAATAATGACACGTGGTTTCACCGGGTGGTCATTGGATCACCAGGTTGATTATCAGAGACTGAAACCTACCCAGTAATTAACCACAGAACAAGCACAAATTACAGAGGATCATATCAATAGACATATTTTTTTATCACTGCAGATACATTCTCTGTCATATAGACGATCTGCAGAATGACTGAGCTAAAGAGCAGCAGGTGTTCAATGACTTACTCAAAGGACATTTCAGTTGGTGTAATCCATATTTATGGTTTTAGCATTTAAGCAAATGCTGGCTAAAGACACAGACAAACATTCATGTAATCGTGTATTCAATATCCCTCCATCATAGAGCCTGAGCCAACAGACAAACAAAAACTTAAATCACTTCCAGGGGGAAAATCCTTCATCAATTAAAGGGACAGATGAAGGGCAAGGCCGAAAGCACATAACGCTCTGATAAGAGGGATGTTCTCCACAACTTCCCCTTAATCTCAGTTTCACAGAGTTAAACCCTGCGTTTTAGCATCTTAAATAAACACAGTTCTTGTCATGTCAAAGTAGTATTTTGTCATTTGCATGAAGATACAATGCATGTTATGTGTTCAGTTGCTCACAGTATCACTGGTGCTTCACCGTGCTGTCAATCAGATGCTAGGGAGCGGAGCCATTATGGCCCCATG